TTGAACTAAATTCCAAAATACGTAGCATTAGGCAAGTTTTAGAAAAAAATTAATTTCATTTTTGTTGTAGTGCCGGAAGCTCCGAAGATTGGCGTTCAAATAACAATCTCTTTCCGGCCTCAGTCAAGGGTAACAAACTTCAAGGTTGAAAAGTGTCAATTTCCTATTCTTTTCTCTGCTATCTTCATTTCTAAAAAAAGCTAGGAAAGGTGAATGGTGGTTGGACATTCACCGCATCGATATTCTTCGTCCAATAATGCGTGTTCGATTGGATCAAGCCAAAACAATGGGTTGTAATGGAGTAGAACCAGATAATGTTGATGCCTATACCACAGAAAACTAGAGAGGAGGATTCAAACTTATCTATGATGATCAGATCAATTGCAATGTCTGACTGGTAAATGAAGCTCACCCACGTGATCTTTCAATTGGACTAAAGAATGATGGAGATCAGATCGAAGATCTCGTTCATTATTTTGATTGGACGCTCAATGAACAATGTTGGGAATATAATGAATGTGATATACTTCAACCCTTCATCGAAGGTAAGATCTTCTTATCATATCATCAAATAGAAGTTTGTCGATTAGATTTATTTGAACATTTTTTTCTTCCCAGCAAACAAGACAGTCTTGAACTGCGAATATAAAACCATGCACAAGTTTCTAAAAGCTGTGAAGGCAAAGATTAGTTCAATTCAAGGGCCATTGCTGTTCGACGGAAAGAGCATGAAAATGTGCAATGCACAAGAACAACTCGTACCATTTTGAAGACTTCTATTCTAATAGTTTTACTTTCATTATTTATAACGGATCGCCTACAACTAAATGAAATACTTTTGTCCTCTCTTTTTTTTGTCGGTCTTACTATTGTTCGAAAAATTTCATTCAGAGCTCAAAAATATGAAGAATTTTCTGTTCTACAAAATGGTATCACTTTCGTTCATAAAGAACAGATTTTATACATTTAAGCACGTCAAGTTCAAGAACTATCTCAGATCGATAGGCCCGACGATATCAACTACTATTCTTGAATGGATAAAGCTGCCAAGATACTTTCTGAACTAAGCGCACTATCTCAAATGCTCCAATGAACGACTGAAATCTTAGAGAAATTATTTTTTAATTATTTACAACAAAAAAAACAATTTGATTTCTGTCTGAGATTCATTTCAGAGAGCAACTTTTTCCTACTAACACGACAAGTTGACTCATTTCTCTGATCGAACGATTATGTAGCGTATTGTGAATCAATTTCAGACAGAAAAAGAACATTCTTGTTGAAACGAAAGAATCATTCTCGACAAGAGGTGACATTTTAACTTAAAAGAAAACAAAGTTAAAGTGCAGTTTTCTTTACTAAAAAACGGGCTTTTTCAAGAAAAAAAAAGAATTTTAATAAAATTTGATCATAGGTAATCGAAATTGAGGAATCAAAATCTGAAACCGATGTCTCAAAATTTTGAGTTGAATGTTTTTGCGTTAGAGAAAAACTTTTTCAGGAAAACGAATTCGCTTACTCTTAACTGAAGGGTGGGTCATACGAGATAAAATAACACACGTTAGTATGCTTATATATTCGAATGTTTGCAAGCACATGCACAGTCATGTGCAAATTTTCTTCGGACAAGTTTGGGGAAAATGTCAGAGGTTTTGGCTATAGTGTACTTTACCTTCAGCTAATGAGATGATTTCACTTTTTAACTCTCGAATAATATAAGTTTCTCAACTGGGAAATTCTGTCAATCAGTTGTTTTTTTGCATTTATCTCCTTACCAATGAGGCTTTTCTCATGCTAAGTGTTTAGCTTATCAGATCTTCTTGTCATCCGACTGTCAGCCATCGATGATTTTGCGTGCTAGAAATTCAGGTAGCTGAATGTTCTCACTACTTTCTTCATGTTCAATCAAGCTTGTCCTTCTTGGGATCTTCGAAAATGAGATGTTCGAACTATCTAGGGTGTGGGTGTGCGTGCGGATGTGGGTGTGGGTGTGAATGAGTGATGTGGCCGTGGTTGTGGGGCAAGGGGGAAAAAGCGCGACACCATGTACTCCAAAAAAAAGTTGGAGTACAATTGGAGTACAATTGGAGTACAATTGGAGTACCATTGGAGTACCATTGGAGTACCATTGGAGTACCTGACACTGGTACTCCAATTGTACTCCAATGGTACTTCAATGGTACTCCAATTGTACTCCAATGGTACTTCAATGGTACTCCACATACTGGAGTCGCGCTTTTTCCCCCTTGGAGCATACACAAGTATTAATAATTGACCAAGTTCATATTTGGCCCGTAAGTGAGATTCGATGAAAGCAGAACAGCCGTAAAAGGGTGTGGGTTGGGATGGAAGTGTAGTCGTGGATTCGTGAGCGACGAAAAGAATTCACACACCATACCCATACTCAAACATCCCATACCCACATCTTTCTTACGCAGAGTTCCGATAGCCACATAGGATATAGTAAACAAAGTATTGATAATTTTTTTCATAGTTAGCTAGCAAATTTTCAGTGGCGTATATGTTGATCTTATTTTAGATAATGATCTCCATGAAATATCCTTGCAAATGTCATTAAATGACGGACTCAAATTCATTTATATATTTCTAGAGTTGCATATTCAGTGAGTTGTAGTATCCAATGACTCTGGTCAGTTCTTTGTTAAAATACACAGCTGATATGAATGAATATTTTCGGCTTGCTTCAGAATATAGCTAACAAAAAATATTGACCTTTCTTTGTTTATTTCATAAATGCTATTTCGACGAGTAACTCTACCATACATTTTTCATATACTTCTCATGGATAAAATTCATCAGATAAAAGATTCAGTATTCCAAAATGGGTCACAGCCAATAGAATCAAAGAGGCTTACTCTCAACATTTTCAAATTATTACAAATACTCATGAACAGACACTGCTCCCAAGATGTCAGTGTCCATTATTTTAGAGACTACAGAGATTTCAAAGAAAATTTTAAAAAGTCATCGAATTTTTTTTTGAGATCTAGCTCTAAAGATTTCATAGGGTTTCATTAAATTTTGGAAGATCTCCCAAGTTCAAGATAAATTAGAACTCAAATGAATCTTCTCTTACTACGTGAGCACAACTTGTCATCAATGAATCACTACAATCAATATCACCGAATGCAATTTCATCTAGAGATTTTCTCTTTTTGAAAACTCTTCGTCTTAGTACCCATAGGGTGTGGGTATGTATGACTCGTAGAGCTAAACTCACACTCAAACCTTTTTTCAAAGTGACACATTCAATCAGTTGATTTACACGGTCAGCAAAAATTCATCCTTTTCGTGTCATATTATTAATAAAATGTTTGATATTGCCATCAACTCGCAAAAGCTGCTTCTGTTCTGGTATGTGCTGATTATTCACCGCACATTGATTGATTGATTGCTGCTCGGCATGCAATCGTATGTAAGATTGCTAAATGGAACATGATCAAATGGTAGCAGCAACTGTGTCTATAGAATGAAATGAAAATGTCAGAGTATTTGTTTTGAATTATGACGTGACAAAATATAATTTCCTCGTATTTTGAATATAATTATTTGGATATAAAAGCATTAAAACATATAGTACGAAACACGAACGTTTAGAGATAGAAGTAAAATTAAATACTATTTACAAGTGAAAGTATTCGAACAAAATGTCCATTGGCAAGTTCCTGAATCAGCGGACATATGATGATCGTAAAATGAATACCTATATCAATACGCATGACAATGTGGTACAAGAAGTGGGTAGTAGTGTTATCATATTCGATGATTCCATTCATCATAATGAAGTAGAAGGTGTCCAGGTATGTATGTATGACTTTGTTGTTTCGCATAGTATTTAAAAAGCCAAATTTTATTATTTGAACTTGTATACATGTTGCTATCATTCACTATTATAACATCTCACCTCTGATATACCAGAGAAAATTGCGGACCCTCAATTTGGACGAATGATAAGTCCAAACTTAGAGGCACAGGGCACTTTATTAGAGTGCATCCATCTAAACACTAATCTCTAGATTTAGGACCTTTTTTCAATACGTCTCAAAGCATTGCAGTCATTTTTTTTTGCAGAATATCAATAGCAAAATTCACTCATGATTGAGATCAACATATCCTAATCTTTTTTATGCTCATTATGCTATACAGGGAATGTCAAATAAAATGGAAAGTGAGATGGAAAAATCATTCCTTAATTTAAAACTCGTAATGTATCTTTTGAACGATGACAGATGTATATGTGAATGAGTGTATTAGTGTTAATACGACTCTGTGATTCTAGAGGCTTAACGGAATTGAGACACTGTTGGCTACTAACTAGTGAGACGATATAGTGTCATTCATGCCGTAAATCTCCCATTCGATGCAAGTAAAATTGTTGATCCATGAGGTCTAGTCTAATTCAGATTGAGTTGGCGTGTAAACTTTGTTTCTCTTCGCCGACCTAAAATTTCTTGCATTTTCCTGATATCCAGTTAACTCTCACTTTTTAGGCAAGATTTCATCTTGCGTTATGAAAATTCAGGATAGAGATCAATGTTCAAGTTGCCAGATTTTCACAATAAGTATTTTTTAAGTATTGATGCTCATCGACAAAGCAGAAGACTGAATGCTCACAAAGAGATGAGGCAATGGATGATAAAATATATTTTGACCTGTAGAGTGATCAACTGCAATTAACAAGTAAGAATGATTCACAATTGAAGTTACATGAGCTTCTACAGAACTTTGATGAAAAAGAAACAAGTCATCAGAAGAAACCAGCAGTAACGAAAGAAAATCTTGATGATAACAAAGACTGTGTGAAGAAAAACAATTGTCGAATAGTAGACGTTGCTGCTGCCGGCGACAATCTCAAGATAACACATGGCACCATCAATAATATCACAGTTGACCTTGGACCCATTGTAGGATACGCTGAGGAACCTTTATTGCCATTAGCTGAGGCATGTGCTCCATTGATCGACATCATTCAAGATTTAATGACCTACGTTCAACTGGCTCTGAATGAAACTCCGGCTGAACCAGCAGATCAACTGACAGTCGATGAGAGTGCATCGATTCGTCTCTACACAATCGAATGGGAAGGATCTCATCGAAGTCTCTATTCCAAACTCAATCGTACTCTCAAGACCGCCGATTGCAAGGAACTTCGCCCGTATTTCAAGTATCTCAAACTATTTTTAACAGCTCTAGTCAAACTACCATGTATTCCATCAATGACTGTCTGGCGAGGAGTTACCAAAGATTTTAGCGCTAATTTTCTACCTGGAAAATTTGTGTCATGGTGGGCATTTTCATCTTGCACAACTGCAATGAGTGTACTCGAGAACAACATGTATTTAGGCACAACAGGTTCACGAACGCTCTTCTCCGTCGAAACCATCAATGGTAGAGCAATACGAGCTCATTCACATTTTGCAACTGAAGATGAAATTATTCTTCTTCCTGGCACATATATGCAAGTTCAATCACAAATGAGTCCAGCGAAAGATCTTCACATCATTCATTTAAGGCAGGTCATACCCAAGGAAACACTTCTGGAACTTCCTTTCGAAGGTATTTTAAAGATTTTTCAATATTTTATTTTGAATTGAATTATTTCTATGTAAAGGTGCATATCTTTATCCTAAAATTCTGTAAGCATCACTTTCTTCTCATTGCATTGTATTTTTGACGAAGATTTTATTTCAATTTGAAGACGTCCATGGTATAGCAAAAAAAGATTTATACTCCCAATTTGTCTATTTACGACTATTGTCTTCGGAGCAATTATTCTCGGTGCTGTTTTAGGATCAAGATCAATTACTAACGTGCCAGGTAGAATTTGTCTTAATCTTTCGAGATCAAAAATGAGCAAAGTTTTTTCCAGATGATGGACACGAATTTCAAATAGTATTGAGACCGATCACCCTTGACTTCAATGAAAACTATTCAAGCGTTTAACAGTCTCTAGAGACCTATCATGTTATAGTTTTGGTCAGTTTTCTTGTGTTATTCTAAACTGTCTATCACTTCGATTACTCACTGTTGTTCTGTATAAGTTTCTTCTGTGGCATTGTTGAACCAATGTTCTTCACATCTTAGTTTTGTTTTCATTACCGATTCTGATTCAAGCTATTGCCAAAGAAAATTAGACTCGTCATTAGACTTCTGCATAATTTTCAAACGACTTGTGCATCTCAGGTCGACTATCACTCATAAGACTCAGATAAGCGATATTTTCAGGAAAATAACATTGATCCGTAGATAAAGAGATTCTTCTCCTAGATATCGTAAGTGAACACTCTGTTCAAGCTGTATGGAACGGAGAAATCATATGCAAAACTTTTCTTTCAACCGTATGCTAAGGCATTCGATTTGGCAAGATACCCATGATTAGGGATGTGTAATTTCAATAAACTGTTCACTAGTTATTCCCATTGACATTCACTGATTTACCTGACATATCCATATTGTATGAGTGCTTCAATACTTCAGTAAAAAACGATCTAGTGTAGTTAGTATGTCAGTTGACTCACTGATAGGTAAATTACTGTCGGTATTTCTTTATTTTCATCGAAACCGCACATACGTATGCATAAATGTACAAACAGGTTTAGCGAGCTTCGAGAATCTCTAATCTTTTCACTTTATATTTCTGATTTCTCATTTATAAAAAAAAATTATGCTATCCAATGGAAAAATTTTATTGACGTCGAGGTTGACATGAGTGATTTTCTTACGATGGCCATTTCAGAGTGACGATTTCATGAAACAGTAAGGTAGGTGAAAGTGAAGCAAAACTTTTCATATATGTCAAACTTGAAACTTGAATTCAATTGAAATTTCAACTTTCAACTGAAATTTCAAATTTCAAGTTTCAAGTTTCAACTTTCAACTGAAA